TCACACACACACCCTCTCACTCACACACACACTCACCCTCTCACTCACACACTCACCCTCTCACTCACACACACTCACCCTCTCACACACACACACACCCCCTCTCACACACACACTCTCACACACACACACCCTCTCTCTCACACACACTCACCCTCACACACACACACACTGACCTCGTAGTTGTGTGTGTTCTGCACGCTGCGCAGCGCCGCCATCCACTCCTCCATCTCCTTCCTGCTGTCTGCAACCAGAGTGAGTCTCCTGCAGGGGGTGATGACCTACACACACACACACACACACACACACACACACACGCACACACACTGAGTCACTGTGCACGATGGCCTGACAGAGCGGCTCATGGTTCTGCTGAACAGGAATGAACTCACGGTGAAGCTGTTGTTCACGTTCTTGGTGCTCGACTCGGCCGCGCTGGCGTCCGTCAGATCCACCTCGTCAAAGATGATCGACTGAAGAACACCACAGGAAGGAAGTACATCACAGGAAGTACACCACAGGAAGTACATCACACACACCCTCTCTCTCACACACACCCTCTCCTTTTGAGATAATATGTTGAAGTTTGGGATTTTGAATAGTATTCAGTGTTTCCGCAGGATGGAGTCATAGCAGCTGCTGAGGCACGCGGGCCCAGCTACATGTTGAGCGCGGAGCGCGTGGACCTTTTTAGTGTGCGTGCGAAGTGCGCACACTATTTTTCTATTGGCGCATTTCCACTACAAGGCCTCGCTCGGCCTCGTTAGGCCTCGTTAGGACTGGCTCACTTTATGCTGCGCTTCCATTACAGTTTAGGAACTGGCAGTGCTTGAATTGGAATGAAAAAGGTGCCAGTACTCTAAAATCAGCAACTTTTTCAAGTCAATTTTATATATACAGCCCACAAACAAGAATTCGGCTACTATAATGCTGGTGGGTTTGTCTCTTTACTACTGTATATTTTAGAAAGGTTCACTGTACTTAACATTTTTTATGATAGGCAGTGGATATGGCTAAAGCTCAGTAAGGTCAATATTAACTGAAAATATAGCAATCAAAGTCTAGATCTTCTGCTGAAGACACATGAAGCAGAGACCTTTCAGGTGAGAGCCCCTCTGGTGGTGTTCAACATTAATGACAAGGAAACAAAGCTCTGGTCAGAAGCATTTTTTATAAAAAGCTTTAACAAAATTAAGTATTTCTGTACATTTTGAATGCAATCTAACTTTCCAACTCAGAAAACGAAAAACGAAAAAGTGCCAAAAGTCTTCTCACATGGCTGAGCTGCTTTGCAATATACTTCACCACTGAAGAATACAAATATGTATAAAGTAAACTATGATGCAATCTAACTTTCCAACTCAGAAAAATGATAAAGAGCATGAACAAAGAACATGTAAAAACAAATGCAAAATTTGCACAATCTAAAATGAGAAACTGTAACTGCAAGTAACAAAGTCTGAGCCATGGTAAAGAGTTACATTGAACACCAAGCTGATCAGATAACTCCCTGGTTGGTCTGAAGTCCTTCTATCTCCAGGATCTGTACAAATCGGCACATTATGCCAAAAGTCTTCTCACTGGGTGAGCTGCTTTGCAATATACTTCACATTGTTAGAAAAGGCTCCAGAAGGCCTTGGGGACATCAGTATCAGGGGCTGGAGCTGGACAGGCTCTTTCATCAGCACTTCTCCTTCCCTTTGCCAGCCAGGACCTCACATACTGTTCCGGATTGAACTGTCCTAGTGATGGTCCATTACATTTAATGAAAACCAGGCTGGACAGTCGGCTGACAGAGAGAGCATTCCTTTTTGCAGTAAGGATATCGTTCATGCAGCTGAATGCCCGCTCACACTCACTAGTGGAGACAGCGATGGTTCGGACTGCTTTCAGTAGAGACTCCATGGCAGCAGGTGTACGGGATGCCCTGGTTTCCTTGTATTCGCGAAAGCCCTGAACAGTCTCTCTTCTGTCCACTTTCAGCACTTCGCACAAACGTAGCACCTCTACGTCCCCATACTGTACGTCTAACTCCTCTTCAGGCCAACTTCCAGGATGGATAACTTTCATGTCCTGGATTAGCTGATTGTCCCGGGTCTCCCGGCCATGTAATGGGATTTCTCTTGTGCTGACATGAGAGGAGGTTGTGGAAGTCATTCTGTGTCTCAGATTCTCTACCATACTGCGGAAAAACTGACCTGCATGAATCTGTACAAGCCTGCCATTCTCACGCAGGGCAACACCCTTGAAGGACTTCTCAGCTAGAGCTGTATGAACTGTAGTCATGTGTGGGCCAGGCATGGTGACCATGGATTCAAAAACTCGCATTTCTCGAGTTAAGAGCCTATCTGCTGTAGGCAGTGTCATCTCTCTTTTTTGGAGTTGCCGAGAGAGGTCGCTGAGCTCTGTGAGCGCATCGTACATCAGTCCCAGATTGCTGACAAACGTTGCAGATGTGAGCACATCATCCAGGCCCTTGTACTTTGCTCTGTCTCTGGAATCCCTGCTCGTGTCGTTTGCAGCATTTGTGAAGTGATCATGAAGCACTCGGTAGTTTTCCCAGACTGCTCTGACGCTCCTTTCACTTGAAGCCACCCAGCGGATGGACAAAACACGCCCTATCACCAGGAGACGCTGTCCGACTGCTTGCGCACACTGCGCTAACTGCCTCTGATTTTTGGGGGAGGCATGGAACAAGGAATAGAGTTTGTCAAAAAAGATCTGGAAATGATTGAGCCCTGAGACCTCCTTGACCACATCCCCAACTGCCAGCTCTAGACGATGATTGGAGCAGTGCCACACAAACAGGCTTGGGAATTTACTACACAACTGGGTAGCAACGCCTGTTCTCTTCCCTAGCATGACTGAAGCCCCATCACATGCAAAAGAAACGAAACACTGACCTAAAAAGTCCTCATTAAAATCTCTTCCAAGACACTCCATTAACGCCTTTGTGATGTCATCAGCCGTTGTTCCATCCAACTCGATCAGCTCCCAAAAAAACGTTTCGGGCTCAGCATCAGCTAATGCTGAGCGTAGACACACAACAAGCACCGTTTTACCACTAATAGTGGTAGATTCATCGACCAAAACACAGAGTTTTCTTTGGTTTTCTGTAATGTCTTTTGCCATTTTTTTCTTCAGCTCATGAGCTATGTGGTCGATGATTTCGCCACAGGTTTTATTGGAGTGCAAAACCCTGCCCACGTTCAGCCCATTCAGTTTCTGTACATTCAAATCAATTGGCATGTCTGTGAATGGCCGGCTATGTTTGCCAATTTTATATGCCGTTCGAAAAACTCTGATAGTGGTGTCTAATTCAGATTTATGCATAGACTGCACTTGATGTTGAATAGTTTCACGTGAAGCAGATGTAAGGATGTCAGCAGCTTTTACATGGGCTTGTGATTCTTTATGTTCTTTGATTTTTTTCTCAGGCTAGCTTGTTGTTTGCCCTTGTCAACACCGAAATGAGACACTGCACACTCACCCCATTCAGTTGACAGTTGCAGTCCTTGTCCAGTGTGTATTCCCAAAGATTTGACATCTCTGCATATCCGACATCCTAGCTTCTTATCTTTAAGAAGGAGCCATGCATTGGTCTTGCAAAAATATTGCACCTGGTCCGTTGTCCAGCAGTCAGGTGCATCGCTTTGCCCGGTGTTGGTGGTGGCAGTTGCGCCAGCAGCAGCTAACGTTAGAGGCTCTGGAGGAGGCGGCGGAGCTAGTGGTAATGCTAATGCACTAGAACTTGGAGTAGGAGGATCAACCAAAGAAAGCTCCCCATCAGACACAATTTCCAACACAGGCACAGCATTCTCTGTATTTGAAGTTTCTTCCGGCGACAACCGCTGTCTTTTTGCACTTTTATTAATCCACGCTAACATTTTAGAAATGCTAATTTGTGACGTGACTTGCTTTCCTTCTCTCGGGGGCGTGCCTGCTCTGTTCTATCACTCTACATAGCCACCCACTGGGTGGGAGTTGCACTGCATAAACACAACACACGTGCATCTAGGTATGTAAATTGTAAAGCATTAAAACATGGTTTTACTAACAGTTTTCAGTATGTTGTTACTTCGGCATTATTATTATTATTATTTTGAAACGTGTATTACTATTAAATCACGGTCAAATAGGTTAATTTTGACATAGTCGTTTCCACCACAGTATTTACATGGAGAAGATAAGCCCCCGCCCCCTCTCCAGCACGTTCTGTTTGAATGACAGGAGTAAACAGCTGACAGCCGCTGTGAAACTCCAGCGGTTAGAGCGATGAGAATGTCCGTTCGGCACCTCATGACGCATCTACTGAGTACCGGGCGGCTGTATATATATATATGGATGTATAATAAGAACGGCAGGAGAGTGTTGAGTACTGGCACGGTGCATGAGTACCGGAGTACCGCCAGCATGCCGGTACTGAGCAAGAAGTGCCGGTACTCCATGGGTCAGAACCAGAAGTGCCGGTACTGCGTACCGGTGAGTACCGGCCCAATTCCAGCACTGGGAACTGGGGCAGTTACTATAGTAACGCAGTGTAGGCGGAGCCGTGACGTCATCTTCAATGAGAGCCCCAGAAAAACAACACAGCCGTTAGCCGTTAGCCCTCAGAGCTCACAGCTCCTCATATCTGTTCAGAAACTAGACAGAAGTTAAACAAGTACAAACCACAGACTGCCTGTGTCATGGCGAATACAGTCGCTGGTTTATTTATGTCTGTATAGGCCGTTGTTGTGAGTGTGGACGGTCGGAGCATATATATAACGTTAGCTTAGCCAAGCTACATGTAGAAAACACGCATTTTAAAAAGGTGTTTCTCTGCCGTCTGTCTGCAGACTTGTCAAAGCATTAATTCCTGGTTTTTACTAACCGGTATCAGTATGTTGTTACTTCGGCATCATTTTGAAACGTGTATTACAATTAAATCACGGTCAAATATGTTCCTCTTGTTGTAGTTGTAGCCCCCTTGCCAGCGATTCTCTCTCTAGTTTAGCATACTCCGCCCGACTCAGCCTGGTTGTTCCTGGCCCGAGAACCACGATTTTATGGGGCCAGAAAAACTGAATTAGGACCCGCTAGCCGGTACTAGACCAAGTGGAAACGCAACCAGAAACGGGCCCCGCACGGCTCGGCACGCTTAAAGCGAGCTCCCCGCTGCAGTGGAAACGCGCCATATGTGTCTGCCAGCACAAGAAAGGCTCTTGAGGCTCTACAGGTGTGTTTTGCTAAATCACTTTTATTGAACATACAGTAACACAAATACTGCACATGCTACAAATACTACAAATACTACACATACTACAAATACTACACATCCACATAACAAACAATCACAATAACATGGATGCAGTTTAATTATTTAACCTGCTTTATTTGAGGGTGGACCTCACCTCCTCTAGGGGGCACCTCACCTCCTCTAGGGGGCACCTCACCTCCTCTAGGGGGGTCCTCACCTCCTCTAGGGGGCACCTCACCTCCTCTAGGGGGGTCCTCACCTCCTCTAGGGGGGTCCTCACCTCCTCTAGGAGGGACCTCACCTCCTCTAGGGGGGTCCTCACTAGGGATGGGTATCGTTTGAAATGTATCGATTCCGGTTCTTATCGATTCCCTGTTTCGATTCCAAAATTGTAAAAGAAAGAGGTCAAACGTTTAGATAACAAACATATCTTTATTTTTTTCAGCTTTAACTGACATTTTTACAAATAAAAAAATATACATGCAATACAAATGTATTGCACAATTGCTGTGCTTTATTTGAACTGCTCAGTGGCGACTGGTCATTAGGGGCAGGCACAGCCCCACCTAGTGTCAGCAGAAAGTATTAAAATAATGATTACAACAAAATGCAAAAAATAAATTAAAATATATATAAAATATATTTTAAGATCATGTTTAATCATCTGATTCGTCTCATTGCTGTTTTAGTCTGTGTTCTTCTAGTTAGTGTCTACAGTGTGTGCCTATTGAGCTGTTTAGAGCCGTGTGGGACAAAACCCGATCCTGCCCCTCCCTCTCACTGTCTAAGTGAACGGTGACTGTAAAAACTACACTGCGCATGCTCAGAGTATTTTCCTATTTAATGTGTGTGGCAAAAAATAATGACCATAGGGGCATAGAGCTGCCATCCCCACCATACGTCATCTCACATCATTCAGAGCTGATTGGCTGTAAGTACGTGTGCCGCGAAAAGTGTGGTGTGTGAAGAGCAGGTGAAGAGGAGGAGAGAGACGCGTCCTAAAACCAGGAAGTAAGCTGCGCATGGCTTCCCTCCACAACAAAGCAATGAGATTTCTCCTTAGGATTTTAGAAAATAGCTCAAAATAAGATCTGTGGGAAACGTAGCTGTTAAAGATAAATGCACGTTTTGTTCAGCCGGATAATATCCACATGTCTACCCTACTTTTATAATTTTCTAATCATAAATCCATTGATTAGATTAGATTTATGATAGACTTTTGAAACTACAAGAACATAAGGAGGACTTTTACAAAACAGTAATAGAGATGTTTGTCCAGAGGGATAGGCAAATGGACTTCATCTTCAAGTCAAGGTAAGACCACAATTTTATTGAAGATGGGATCTTACTAAGAGAGAACAATTCAATATTTAAATGATAAAATTACATTTTTTGGGTATCCTTCTGTTGAACTGTCTAAAATTAATTGAAGCATCAGACAAAAAAAGCTTTTGAAAATAATATTATATTTTGATTTAGGTCAAAATATAATATTTGTAAACCTGAAGAGTCAGAGTTAGAGCCTCAGCAGCCATGAACCTCACTGCAGAAGCGTATAGACATCTGAGTTTTTTGTGCCCCACCACTTTAGTACATATAAAAACGCCACTGGAACTGAGCTATGCCTGTGGCAAGCTATTAACAGGCTTTACACGGTGCCTTGTCTTTCTCTTTCTTAGTGTAGTGGAGCCTCACTTCAGAGCGTTTACCGCGACCCATCTTTGGTGTCATGAAGTGACTGAGCTCGTGAACTGTCTACCGGGGGGCGGGGGAGCCTCGCTGCGGGGCAACTGTGGACCTCTGTCGCCTGTGATTCTCCAGAACACACAGATGGCCAGTCCGCCCCTGCACCGGGTCGCCACAGCGCAGAAGGACCCGGTGGAATAGAGGGTCTACCGCGTTTAGGAACCGTTAAGCAGAATTTTTTATAGAGGATCTTATTGGGAGAGACCATTCACAGGTAATAAATACACATGTCATCATAAAGGGTATAACGATAATGTATAATATTCTGTGCATATATGATCAGTGGTGTATAGCCATCGGTTAATTTCACCCAAAACCCACATTATAACTGACCATAATAAATATAAATATATTCCCAACTACAACAGAAACCCCTACGCCCATCCCGCCACTTGGTTCGTCCCGGAACCTTCTTTAGTCAGTGTTTGTTTCCCCGAGGACCTTTTGGCCAAACACACTGGAGCGGACACAGGACGAAACAGCATGGGTAAGCGATGAACCTTTACACAGCGTTCACTTCTACAATGAATGCAACTTAACGTCATGACAGATACACGCTAAACCAGGACATCTGCACACCATGACTAATCTCATCCGCTGTCACTCTCTGCGCTCTCGCTATAACTCCCCTCTCTTTCAGGTGGAGCCGAGGACCGACCAGCATCTGCCAGACGACATTCCAATTAATACGGTTTAATCATTTAACAACTACTACATCAATAAATAGTATAATTTATATAAAAATGTGCAAATCGGCCATGTCAAACTGTGCTGTGCAATCACGCTGATAAAGTGCAAACTGTTCACTAAAGTGCTGAGTGACTTTCTGTGCAAAAGGAAGTCGTTTCATAAAGTGCAATATTACAAGGCCCGAAGCCGTCAGTCCATAGTGACGAAGTTACCTTCGTTACAGGGGGTCCTCACATCCTCTAGGGGGGACCTCACCTCCTCTAGGGGGGTCCTCACCTCCTCTAGGGTGGGCAATCCCCACAGGAGCAATTTGGGGTGAAGTGTCTTGCCCAGGGACACAACGACATGCTGACTGCAGTGGGGTTTGAACCTGTGACCTCCTGATCCGAATACCAACTCACAACCCACTGCACCACAGGCCTCCCCATATTATTATTATTAATTAATTTATTTGTTGTACCTGGCTGGCGCCCCGTAGCACACTGGTATTACCTTAGAGGTCTGGGCGTAGTACAGGGTCCTTCCTCGCAGCTATAGATGTGTGTATATACCTTAGAGGTCTGGGCTTAGTACAGGGTCCTTTCTCGCAGCTATAGATGTGTGTATATACCTTAGAGGTCTGGGCGTAGTACAGGGTCCTTTCTCGCAGCTATAGATGTGTGTATATACCTTAGAGGTCTGGGCGTAGTACAGGGTCCTTTCTCGCAGCTATAGATGTGTGTATATACCTTAGAGGTCTGGGCGTAGTACAGGGTCCTTCCTCGCAGCTATAGATGTGTGTATATACCTTAGAGGTCTGGGCGTAGTACAGGGTCCTTCCTCGCAGCTATAGATGTGTGTATATACCTTAGAGGTCTGGGCGTAGTACAGGGTCCTTTCTCGCAGCTATAGATGTGTGTATATACCTTAGAGGTCTGGGCGTAGTACAGGGTCCTTCCTCGCAGCTATAGATGTGTGTATATACCTTAGAGGTCTGGGCGTAGTACAGGGTCCTTTCTCGCAGCTATAGATGTGTGTATATACCTTAGAGGTCTGGGCGTAGTACAGGGTCCTTCCTCGCAGCTATAGATGTGTGTATATACCTTAGAGGTCTGGGCGTAGTACAGGGTCCTTCCTCGTAGCTATAGATGTGTGTATATACCTTAGAGGTCTGGGCGTAGTACAGGGTCCTTCCTCGCAGCTATAGATGTGTGTATATACCTTGGGGGTCTGGGCGTAGTACAGGGTCCTTCCTCGCAGCTATAGATGTGTGTATATACCTTGGGGGGCGTAGTACAGGGTCCTTCCTCGCAGCTATAGATGTGTGTATATACCTTAGAGGTCTGGGCGTAGTACAGGGTCCTTCCTCGCAGCTATAGATGTGTGTATATACCTTAGAGGTCTGGGCGTAGTACAGGGTCCTTCCTCGCAGCTATAGATGTGTGTATATACCTTGGGGGTCTGGGCGTAGTACAGGGTCCTTCCTCGCAGCTATAGATGTGTGTATATACCTTGGGGGTCGGGGCGTAGTACAGGGTCCTTCCTCGCAGCTATAGATGTGTGTATATACCTTAGAGGTCTGGGCGTAGTACAGGGTCCTTCCTCGCAGCTATAGATGTGTGTATATACCTTGGGGGTCTGGGCGTAGTACAGGGTCCTTCCTCGCAGCTTGAAGTAGCGCCTCTTGCCGCGCTGGAAGGAGCTGCTCTGCTTCTGGAGGAAACCCTCCTTCAGCACCGTCTGCAACAGGAAGTGGGAGTTTGTTGTTTGTTGTTTGGGAGGGGTACTGTGTGAGCGATAGCACAGGAAACACTTCCTGTTGTTGTTTTAGTTGTTTACAGGATCAATAAGTTAATGTTACTCGATGTGTACTTGTACATGTTATTGTATATCTTAACTATCAGGTTATGGATGATGACAAAGCAGCATCCCTCTCCTCTGTCATCATCCTGTTGGACCTGTCTGCTGCATTCGACACGGTGAATCATCAGATCCTCCTTCGCACTCTCCAAAAACTTGGAGTTTCAGGCTCTGCACTTTCCCTCCTCACCTCATACCTCAAAGACCGCACCTACAGGGTGACTTGGAGAGGGTCTGAGTCCGACCCTTGTCAATTAACTACAGGGGTACCTCAGGGCTCTGTTCTTGGTCCCCTCCTCTTCTCCCTGTACACAAACTCGCTCGGATCAGTCATTAGCCCGCATGGTTTTTCTTACCACTGCTACGCTGATGACACCCAATTAATTCTGTCCTTCCCCCGCTCAGAGACCCAGGTCGTTGCACGCATCTCTGCTTGTCTAGCTGACATCTCTCAGTGGATGTCTGATCATCACCTCAAGCTCAACCTTGACAAGACTGAGCTGCTCTTCCTCCCGGGAAAAGATTGTCCCACTCTTGACCTGACAATCAACATCGGCACCTCAGTTGTTTCCCCGACTCAGACTGCAAGGAATCTGGGTGTGACCCTAGATAACAACCTGTCCTTCACTGCAAACATCGCTGCTACAACCCGCTGCTGCAGATACACGCTTTACAACATCAGGAAGATACGTCCCCAGCTGACACAGAAAGCGACTCAGGTTCTGGTCCAGGCTCTCGTCATCTCACGCCTAGACTACTGCAACTCCCTCCTGGCTGGTCTACCTGCATGTGCCATCCGACCTCTGCAGCTCATCCAGAATGCAGCGGCTCGTCTGGTCTTCAACCTTCCTAAATTCTCCCACACCACTCCGCTCCTCCGCTCCCTTCACTGGCTTCCGGTAACTGCTAGAATCCACTTCAAGACACTGGTACTTGCTTACCATGCTGCGAATGGATCTGGCGCTTCCTACATCCAGGACATGGTTAAACCGTACACCCCAGCACGTGCACTCCGCTCTGCATCAGCCAAACGACTCGCTGCACCCTCGCTGCGAGGGGGACCCAAGTTCCCATCAGCAGAAACACGTGGGTTTGCTATCCTGGCTCCAAGATGGTGGAATGAGCTCCCCATTGACATCAGGACAGCAGATAGCTTGCACATCTTCCAGACTGAAAACTCATCTCTTTGGACTCCACTTCCAGCGATAGAACTATTAACAAAGCACTTATATACTAATAAAGGACTGGCTTACCTAAAGCCAGTTGAGTAGCACTTGAAATGTTTGGCTCTATGAAACCTGATGTACTTTATGATTCTGTTTTCTTCAAGGTTGTGTCTTCCTGGTCGAACACACTTATTGTAAGTCGCTCTGGATAAAAGCGTCAGCTAAATGTGATGTAATGTAATATTATGTGGACAGGAGGAATGCAGCCGGTCTTTGAACGCTCAAACATCTGCTGCTGCGTTCAGGGACCGTGGGACCGTTTGTCTTTTCCTTTAGTTTAATGAGTGTTATTTAATGTTATTTCCATCTTCATGTTTGCTGTTGTTATTATTTACTTTGATCTTAATATCTTTAAAGTAGATGAATCCGTTTATACAGAAAGCAAGAGACCCTTCACCTGAAACACGGCCGTTTCTTAATCGCAAGTAAAACTGCTGCAGAGCAACTATTTCAAGTATACTACGTCATCAAGTGGCGCCAAAGGACTGATTAAATGCATGTCAAATCATGGGCCCCTTCTCACTTCTCCTATTTCTCATCTCCTCGGTCTCACCGGAAGTTGATTTGTCTGCGCCATCTTGAGTACCGTCCCATGGCCCTTATTTCTGCCGGAGGAGCGAGGAGCGATCATGGAGGAGCTATTACCGAGGAACCACCAGACCATCCTCCGATGAAATCCTCAGACACTCGCCCCGCCCCCTTACTGTGTATCGCTCACTGATTGGACGAGGCAGTGCATGCACTGATCTGATGCTTCTTGACATGAGAGCAGAGTGAAGAAAACACATGAACCTCACGTGAGTCACTCCTCAGTTTATACCGTATTTTGTTTCAATTCATGTTTCATTTAGTTACAAATATGTGAAATATCTGAACAACTAAGTGGTCAAAAATCATTTAATTCATTTTTTGGAAACATTTTCATGATCGCTTTTTTCGTTTTACATTTTCATTTATTGTCATTTCCATTCAGTCAGTAAGTGCTATTAAAATGTGAATGTGCTGCATATCCACACAAACACACAAAGTGTGCAATGAATGTTATTCTAACTGGGTTTTGATAGATAACATATCTATTTTTCTTCTCTCAATTATTCTATTTCTATTGTGCCTCTAATCAATATTAATCAAACTATTGTTCGTTTATACATTTTAAGAATGGCGTTTATCTTGTTTGACAATGAGTTCTTATTTTATTTTATTTATTGGGGTCTACAACAGATGATACAAATGTGTGTGTCAGTAAATGTGTACTAATAGAGGCGGAGCTGCTGTCAGACGATCAGCTGTGCAGCGTCATCACAAACGGACGTCGCTTCACGTGACGCTCCGGAGGAAAGGACGTCCCATTGCTCTTAAAACTCATTTCCTGCTTCTCATGGTTTCCTTGCGTCCCTCCATGCTTCCCTGGTGGGAGGGACTAAACGCAGGGAAACGACGCAAGTGAGGGACGCAAGGATTCCATTTAACCGAAGTGAGAAGGGCCCCGGGTCACTACCGGAGGACCGAGGAGTCGAGGAGGGGAAATTTGAGTATTGAGAAACCTCTCCTGTCTCCCACCACCTCCACAGTGAGATTTAACTTCTGTTAGACAGCCATCATACTGAATACATATTGACTGTGAATGTATGCAAACATGTATGGCATATAGCTGTCTAACAGAAGTTAAGTCCATGTCTCACTTATCTCATGTACTCAACCCCAAATAAAAGAACCCAATAAAAAGAGTTGTTAAATAATAGTGAAGTCACGTTGAAACAACAATACCTCATCTCTCTCGTTTTCTTTTGAGCTTTGCTAAAAGCCACTGTGTCAAGTGTCCTACTTGGGTTGCCGTATGGAGTTGTCCAATATGGCGGACCATCTCCCACATGCGCACTGCAGATAGGGCAGGGGGACGGATCGGGTAGTGACAGAGGGCCCTTCTCACTTCGGTTAAATGGAATCCTTGCGTCCTTCACTTGCGTCCTTTCCCTGCGTCTAGTCCCTCCCTCCAGGGAAGCAAGGAGAGAGGAAACCACGAGAAGCAGGAAATGAGCTTTAAGAGCATGGGACGTCCTTTCCTCCGGAGCGTCACGTGATGACGCCGCACAGCTGATCGCCTGACAGCAGCTCTGTCCCCGTTGTTTCCACAAACACCCCCGCCTCACATTTACTGACACTAACATGTGTGTCATCTGTTGTAGACCCCAATAAATAAAATAAGAACTCATTCTCAAAAAAGATAAACGCCATTCTTAAAATGTATAAACGAACATTAGTTGGATTAATATTGATTAGAGTGCACAATTAGGGTGACCAGATGTCCCGCTTTGCACAGCATTTTCACGACTTTTGGTGCGTCCCGCAAATTGAGAAGATGTCCCGCATATTTCATTTTGATTAGCTAAAACGCTTCTTTAAAATCAGATTCATCCAATGGCTGTTGAGAAAGCAGGGAAGGCTATCATCACGAGGCTGCTGTTGCTGTTATGCACAAAACTGAAAGCTATTTTATTTTATGTATTATTATGTTTCTGTTCCCTCCTGGCCAGTTTTGATTTGTACTTATGGTTTTATTTGTATCTATTAATTGATGTTGTGCCTACTTGTACAGGTAATACACTAGTTGAATTAAGAAGATGCATTTCTAAACACTTGAAGTGAATAATGGCTGCTGCCTTGGTTAGCCTTAGTTTACTTTTCTTTATTAAGATACTAAATTGTTACTGCATTTTTACTTCACTTTCTGCTCTGTTATATATTTGTTACGTTTTTTTTTTCCGGAGGGGGGGGGGGCGCTGTTGAGAGGGTGTCCCACACAACCATACTCCTTGTCCCACATTTGGTTTGTTGGGATCTGGTCACCCTATGCACAATAGAAATAGAGTAATGGAGAGAAGACAGAGATGTTATCTATCAAACCTAGTTAGATGAACATTCATTGGCCACTCTGAGTGTTTGTGTGGATATGCAGCACATTCACATTTAATAGCACTTAATGACAATAAATGAAAATGTTTCCAAAAAATGAATAAAATGATTTTTGCCCACTTAGTTGTTCAGATATTTCACATGTTTGTAACTAAATGAAACATGAATTGAAACAAAACACGGTATAAACTGAGGAGTGAGTCCCGTGAGGTTCATGTGTTTTCTTCACTCTGCTGGGAAACTGCCTCGTCCAATCAGTGAGCGATACACAGTAAGGGGGCGGGGCGAGTGTCTGAGGATTTCATCGGAGGATGGTCTGGTGGTTCCCATGGATGTATAATAAGAACTGGATACAGCGTGGGAGGCGTGGCCTCATTCATTCCTATGAGAGTTGCTCAATGGCGCATGAAGACAAAATGGCCCCACTTTTGAGAGAGCGAAACGTCACAGATTACCCGGCATGCCTGAGAAGTACCCGTATGTGCACTCATAGCGCATGCGCAACTTTAACCACGCCGCCCAAAAGGCTCGTTCACGTGAATTTGCGTACACGTAACAGCACCGCGCGTTCATGACAGCATGGTACTGGATTTAACGAGCGAGAACGGGAACGAGGCGGCAGTTAGCAGCTAGCGGCTAGCTAGTAAATTATGCTAAATCACACATCAATCGTTATGTACTTTTATATTACGCTGACATCAGGATCTAGTGATATCCAAGCAACAGAGCTTCATGTAGCATGATACTTGTATGGGTTGTACATGAAACCACTTGGTAATATATAAAATGTATATGTTGAAGCCTGTTATGATCAATTGTGAGTTAAAACTTTATCTAAAAAGTAAAGCTGATGATGGATTACTGTGGTGGAGTTAAAATAACAATATCCTATTTCTGTTTGAAATGTGATGGAGTAAAAGGATAGTAACTGTGATTATTCATGTTAGCCCACAAGTAACAAACAATTGCAAGTGCAATAAGAAGCTACAGGAACGTTAATCTACGGTAATATTAACTTTATTTAATACAACATTTACGCTACAAGATTTACATCATACAGCCCATGTAGTATAATATTTTACAAATGAAGAATTACAGCAAACATGTGCAATATATCCATTATTACAGCTCCGTGGCAGTGAGGCGATATGGGTCCGTTGTTATTGTGCATCCATGGGTAAAGAGAAACGCATGTAGTGCTGAACACGTAACATGAACGTGCCGGGCGGCGGGGTCCCGTGGGTTAGATGCGCGTTCATAATGCCGAGGGAAATAACTCTCAGAATAACGTTATTAGCACATTTTTACAACTTGAGGAACGAATGTTTTTAATAAGGGCTATACAAGTGTTCACACTGGGTAGTTTATTTAGTTTAAAAAAAATTATCCAACGAGTTACAGACCACTCTTTCCCCATGTAAGTCAATGGGAAAAAGTGTTTCTGGGCCCAGCAACCAAACGGAAGTGTAGTACCGCCGTTTGGCCAGCACGAATATTCTCATCAGACTCCGGCGCACTTCCTGGGGGCTTGGGTGGTTCCTCGGTAATAGCTCCTCCATTATCGCTCCTCGCTCCTCCGGCAGAAATAAGGGCCATGGGACGCTACTCAAGATGGCGCAGACAAATCAACTTCCGGTGAGACCGAGACCGAGGAGCACATGGGAGCCTGCCTGCAGACCTCCACTCTCAGGACAGGAAGTGACGATTCTGACACGTTTTTTTTCCCGCCCACCGAAGGACTCGTTTGATGGAAGTTTTCAAATCACAATGGAGACTCATCACGGAGGTGATGAGCCCGCCCACCGTGCACTTTGGGTCGGCCTTGGTCAAGCCCTTTTGACCCCCCCAGCCTGGTTCTCGTAAAGGTTTTTCGCTCAAATGACACCATGGAGGAATGTAACGGGAGTTGACAGGGGACTCTGCCCGCCTCACGAGTGCATATTTTCAGACACTTTTTTTCACTTTTCCCCGGTTTTATTCTTTTTTGGCTATTTCACCCGGTTTCTACCGGGGACATTGCCCGGTCTCGGGTGTCCTCCCATGGCCTGTGCCCCCCCCCCCCCACTCATCCATATATTAACGGATTTTGACAATTTTTGTTGCTTTTTTCTCCTCTCCTCTCACTGATCGAATGGCAAACGCGACCCACTGTCGGAGGGCCTTCCTCCGAACTGCGGGTTCGACTGATGGCCGGGAGGGTGTGCTGCGTTGGGGTGGGGGACTTCCCCACTCTGCGTGTCTCTTCCTTCCCGGGCCGGCCGATATGAAGCGTGACCAAGACGCATCGTCCAGGGGTCCCGCAGCGGGGTGGAGGTTCCCAGCTGGAACCTCCACCCCGCTGCGGTGCACCCGACAAACACGGTTTCTCGAACCTTCCACTGTTGTCTAGCGGGTGTAACTAAAATACAAGATGTCGTATTTATATATATATCTATATAGATAGATAATAAGTGTCAGTACGATTTTATTTTGTATTTGCGTGCATTTCCTCTTCGGAAAGTGGCGCTGCGGCTGTACTGATAGTAACAACAATACAAGGTGTCCGTATATATCTATATATATAGAGATATATACATATGTATATAATAAGTGTCAAGAGCCGCTTTTATTTTGTATTTGCATGCATTTCCTGTTTGGAAAGTGGCACTGTACTGATAGTGGTGACTTTATTTTTGGAATTCTTAGCGTGCACTTCCTGTCCTGAGAGTGGAGGTCTGCACCGGAACTGTCCTGAGAGTGGAGGTCTGCACCGGAACTGTCCTGAGAGTGGAGGTCTGCAGACAGACCCCGCTCGAGGAGCGAGGAAATGAAAAATAAGAGAAGTGAGAAGGGCCCACTGGTGTACTCGCGATTGAGAAACGGCCAATGGCTTCAAAGCAGCGACACAGGTTTCTCCGAGCTTCTGTTGTGCACCTGAAGGCAGCACACCGTAAAGTTTAACGAAACGGTAAAAAAAAACGAGCCGTGAGTTTACCGGAGCTGTGACGTCATCTCACTACCGACAGACAATCTAAACTAACGAAATGTAATCTGAAATATAAACTGGATTTACTTTATTTACTGTATACTTTATGTGTTTCTTATAAACAACATATAGGCTATGGTGTGAATAAACGATCTTTAATAAATAACGGGAAAGTCAGTTTACAGACCGTTACAATAACAACAACAACAATAACACATTACATTTATGAAGCGCTTTCTACAACTCAAAGCTTTAGGAAAGTTCAAACAACACGGATGAAGTCAATTAGATTAAAATACAAAGAAGCCCCCCCCCCCCCCTGTGGTCCTCCTCTCCCCGGGCTGCAGCCCTCCTCTCCGGGGGAACAGAGCAGAAAACACCGGGGCATCACTGGGCCTCCGAACCGCAGCTAGTCGCGGTTAGCCTAGTCTAACTGTTGATTACAGACCGTTAACGTGAAGCTGTTTCTAGTCTGTTTAAACCGGGATATCTTTCGGATATATAGGGTTATATAAACTGTATGTAGGAGGCGTGTGGCGCAGTGGATATAGCCTTGGTGTTCGGATCAGGGGAGCACAGGTTCAAACCCCACTGCAGTCAGCATGTCGTTGTGTCCCTGAGACGCTTCAAAGTGCTCCTGTGGGATTGTCCTCAGTGTTGAGTCTGTGAGTCGCTTTGGATAAAAGCGTCTAACAAGTGACATGTGTTGCTGTAGTTCCTCTCTCCAGACTTCATTTAAGATCCACTAAACTCAGATAAACTCAGCAGAGAATATGAGCCGAACAAAACAAAGTTTAATATAAAGTTTAACCCGTTTTCTAATCTGCAGGTCGCCTGGATCCAAACCCACCGAGAAGAGCAAGCTAAATAAAGAGTTCAGAGGAGGGGGGAAAGGGATTTAAATTGAGGATTAACTGGGGATACATTGAGGAGTTTACTATAGACTGTATACTAGAGAAGTTTGAACGACAGACCGAGTTAAGGGGACTGAGGGACAGCCTCTGACCGGGGGACAGCCTCTGACCGGGGAACAGCCCTCCTCCCCCCCGCTGCCTCTGACCGGGGAACAGCCCTCCTCCCCCCGCTGCAGAACAGCCTCTGACCGGGGATTCTGTCCGGTAACCCCCCTCCCCCGCCGCGTACCTTGCTGCGGATCTGTCCGGACGTGGACACTTTCCGGATGAGTTTCTGCGGGGATCCGGGCTCCTGCTCCGGCTCGCTGTCTGAAGAATCCTCCGGACAGCGGGGCTCTGGTCCCTCTGCAGCCGCCATCCTGCCTCCAAACCCGGGGAGGAGGAGCAGCAGCAGCGCCGCCCAGAGGCCCCCTGGCGGCGGAGCCCGGTACTGCACCCACAGACCAGAATGGGTTTATTACCTGTGGGTTTATTACCTGTGGGTTTATTACCTGTGGGTTCTCACTGTGGAGGTGGTGGGAGACAGGAGAGGTTTCTCAATACTCAAATTTCCCCTCCTCGACTCCTCGGCCCTCCGGTAGTGACCCGGGGCCCTTCTCACTTCGGTTAAATGGATTCCTTGCGTCGTTTCCCTGCGTCTAGTCCCTCCCACCAGGGAAGCATGGAGGGACGCAAGGAAACCATGAGAAGCAGGAAATGAGTTTTAAGAGCAATGGGACGTCCTTTCCTCCGGAGCGTCACGTGAAGCGACGTCCGTTTGTGATGACGCCGCACAGCTGATCGTCTGACAGCAGCTCTGTCCCCGTTGTTTCCACAAACACCCCCCCACCTCTGTTAGCACACATTTACTGACACACACATTTGTATCATCTGTTGTAGACCCCAATAAATAAAATAAAATAAGAACTAATTCTCAAAAAAGATAAACGCCATTCTTAAAATGTATAAACGAACAATAGTTTGATTAATATTGATTAGAGGCACAATAGAAATAAAATAATTGAGAGAAGAAAAAGAGATATGTTATCTATCAAAACCCAGTTAGATTAACATTCATGGCACACTTTGTGTGTTTGTGTGGATATGTAGCACATTCACATTTTAATAGCACTTACTGACTGAATGGAAATGACAATAAATGAAAATGTAAAACGAAAAAAGTGATCATGAAAATGTTTCCAAAAAATGAATTAAATGATTTTTGACCACTTAGTTGTTCAGATATTTCACATATTTGTAACTAAATGAAACATGAATTGAAACAAAACACGGTATAAACTGAGGAGTGAGTCCCGTGAGGTTCATGTGTTTTCTTCACTCTGCTGGGAAACTGCCTCGTCCAATCAGTGAGCGATACACAGTAAGGGGGCGGGGCGAGTGTCTGAGGATTTCATCGGAGGATGGTCTGGTGGTTCCCATGGATGTATAATAAGAACTGGATACAGCGTGGGAGGCGTGGCCTCATTCATTCCTATGAGAGTTGCTCAATGGCGCATGAAGACAAAATGGCCCCACTTTTGAGAGAGCGAAACGTCACAGATTACCCGGCATGCCTGAGAAGTACCCGTATGTGCACTCATAGCGCATGCGCAACTTTAACCACGCCGCCCAAAAGGCTCGTTCACGTGAATTTGCGTACACGTAACAGCACCGCGCGTTCATGACAGCATGGTACTGGATTTAACGAGCGAGAACGGGAACGAGGCGGCAGTTAGCAGCTAGCGGCTAGCTAGTAAATTATGCTAAATCACACATCAATCGTTATGTACTTTTATATTACGCTGACATCAGGATCTAGTGATATCCAAGCAACAGAGCTTCATGTAGCATGATACTTGTATGGGTTGTACATGAAACCACTTGGTAATATATAAAATGTATATGTTGAAGCCTGTTATGATCAATTGTGAGTTAAAACTTTATCTAAAAAGTAAAGCTGATGATGGATTACTGTGGTGGAGTTAAAATAACAATATCCTATTTCTGTTTGAAATGTGATGGAGTAAAAGGATAGTAACTGTGATTATTCATGTTAGCCCACAAGTAACAAACAATTGCAAGTGCAATAAGAAGCTACAGGAACGTTAATCTACGGTAATATTAACTTTATTTAATACAACATTTACGCTACAAGATTTACATCATACAGCCCATGTAGTATAATATTTTACAAATGAAGAATTACAGCAAACATGTGCAATATATCCATTATTACAGCTCCGTGGCAGTGAGGCGATATGGGTCCGTTGTTATTGTGCATCCATGGGTAAAGAGAAACGCATGTAGTGCTGAACACGTAACATGAACGTGCCGGGCGGCGGGGTCCCGTGGGTTAGATGCGCGTTCATAATGCCGAGGGAAATAACTCTCAGAATAACGTTATTAGCACATTTTTACAACTTGAGGAACGAATGTTTTTAATAAGGGCTATACAAGTGTTCACACTGGTAGTTTATTTAGTTTAAAAAAAATTATCCAACGAGTTACAGACCACTCTTTCCCCATGTAAGTCAATGGGAAAAAGTGTTTCTGGGCCCAGCAACCAAACGGAAGTGTAGTACCCGCCGTTTGGCCAGCACGAATATTCTCATCAGACTCCGGCGCACTTCCTGGGGGCTTGGGTGGTTCCTCGGTAATAGCTCCTCCATTATCGCTCCTCGCTCCTCCGGCAGAAATAAGGGCCATGGGACGCTACTCAAGATGGCGCAGACAAATCAACTTCCGGTGAGACCGAGACCGAGGAGCACATGGGAGCCTGCCTGCAGACCTCCACTCTCAGGACAGGAAGTGACGATTCTGACACGTTTTTTTTCCCGCCCACCGAAGGACTCGTTTGATGGAAGTTTTCAAATCACAATGGAGACTCATCACGGAGGTGATGAGCCCGCCCACCGTGCACTTTGGGTCGGCCTTGGTCAAGCCCTTTTGACCCCCCCCAGCCTGGTTCTCGTAAAGGTTTTTCGCTCAAATGACACCATGGAGGAATGTAACGGGAGTTGACAGGGGACTCTGCCCGCCTCACGAGTGCATATTTTCAGACACTTTTTTTCACTTTTCCCCGGTTTTATTCTTTTTTGGCTATTTCACCCGGTTTCTACCGGGGACATTGCCCGGTCTCGGGTGTCCTCCCATGGCCTGTGCCCCCCCCCCCCCCACTCATCCATATATTAACGGATTTTGACAATTTTTGTTGCTTTTTTCTCCTCTCCTCTCACTGATCGAATGGCAAACGCGACCCACTGTCGGAGGGCCTTCCTCCGAACTGCGGGTTCGACTGATGGCCGGGAGGGTGTGCTGCGTTGGGGTGGGGGACTTCCCCACTCTGCGTGTCTCTTCCTTCCCGGGCCGGCCGATATGAAGCGTGACCAAGACGCATCGTCCAGGGGTCCCGCAGCGGGGTGGAGGTTCTCCACCCCGCTGCGGTGCACCCGACAAACACGGTTTCTCGAACCTTCCACTGTTGTCTAGCGGGTGTAACTAAAATACAAGATGTCGTATTTATATATATATCTATATAGATAGATAATAAGTGTCAGTACGATTTTATTTTGTATTTGCGTGCATTTCCTCTTCGGAAAGTGGCGCTGCGGCTGTACTGATAGTAACAACAATACAAGGTGTCCGTATATATCTATATATATAGAGATATATACATATGTATATAATAAGTGTCAAGAGCCGCTTTTATTTTGTATTTGCATGCATTTCCTGTTTGGAAAGTGGCACTGTACTGATAGTGGTGACTTTATTTTTGGAATTCTTAGCGTGCACTTCCTGTCCTGAGAGTGGAGGTCTGCACCGGAACTGTCCTGAGAGTGGAGGTCTGCACCGGAACTGTCCTGAGAGTGGAGGTCTGCAGACAGACCCCGCTCGAGGAGCGAGGAAATGAAAAATAAGAGAAGTGAGAAGGGCCCACTGGTGTACTCGCGATTGAGAAACGGCCAATGGCTTCAAAGCAGCGACACAGGTTTCTCCGAGCTTCTGTTGTGCACCTGAAGGCAGCACACCGTAAAGTTTAACGAAACGGTAAAAAAAAACGAGCCGTGAGTTTACCGGAGCTGTGACGGTCATCTCACTACCGACAGACAATCTAAACTAACGAAATGTAATCTGAAATATAAACTGGATTTACTTTATTTACTGTATACTTTATGTGTTTCTTATAAACAACATATAGGCTATGGTGTGAATAAACGATCTTTAATAAATAACGGGAAAGTCAGTTTACAGACCGTTACAATAACAACAACAACAATAACACATTACATTTATGAAGCGCTTTCTACAACTCAAAGCTTTAGGAAAGTTCAAACAACACGGATGAAGTCAATTAGATTAAAATACAAAGAAGCCCCCCCCCCCCCCTGTGGTCCTCCTCTCCCCGGGCTGCAGCCCTCCTCTCCGGGGGAACAGAGCAGAAAACACCGGGGCATCACTGGGCCTCCGAACCGCAGCTAGTCGCGGTTAGCCTAGTCTAACTGTTGATTACAGACCGTTAACGTGAAGCTGTTTCTAGTCTGTTTAAACCGGGATATCTTTCGGATATATAGGGTTATATAAACTGTATTTATGTTACAGTTTATATTTAAAGGAGGCGTGTGGCGCAGTGGATATAGCCTTGGTGTTCGGATCAGGGGAGCACAGGTTCAAACCCCACTGCAGTCAGCATGTCGTTGTGTCCCTGAGACGCTTCAAAGTGCTCCTGTGGGATTGTCCTCAGTGTTGAGTCTGTGAGTCGCTTTGGATAAAAGCGTCTAACAAGTGACATGTGTTGCTGTAGTTCCTCTCTCCAGACTTCATTTAAGATCCACTAAACTCAGATAAACTCAGCAGAGAATATGAGCCGAACAAAACAAAGTTTAATATAAAGTTTAACCCGTTTTCTAATCTGCAGGTCGCCTGGATCCAAACCCACCGAGAAGAGCAAGCTAAATAAAGAGTTCAGAGGAGGGGGGAAAGGGATTTAAATTGAGGATTAACTGGGGATACATTGAGGAGTTTACTATAGACTGTATACTAGAGAAGTTTGAACGACAGACCGAGTTAAGGGGACTGAGGGACAGCCTCTGACCGGGGGACAGCCTCTGACCGGGGAACAGCCCTCCTCCCCCCCGCTGCCTCTGACCGGGGAACAGCCCTCCTCCCCCCGCTGCAGAACAGCCTCTGACCGGGGATTCTGTCCGGTAACCCCCCCTCCCCCGCCGCGTACCTTGCTGCGGATCTGTCCGGACGTGGACACTTTCCGGATGAGTTTCTGCGGGGATCCGGGCTCCTGCTCCGGCTCGCTGTCTGAAGAATCCTCCGGACAGCGGGGCTCTGGTCCCTCTGCAGCCGCCATCCTGCCTCCAAACCCGGGGAGGAGGAGCAGCAGCAGCGCCGCCCAGAGGCCCCCTGGCGGCGGAGCCCGGTCTACTGCACCCACAGACCAGAATGGGTTTATTACCTGTGGGTTTATTACCTGTGGGTTTATTACCTGTGGGTTCTCACTGTGGAGGTGGTGGGAGACAGGAGAGGTTTCTCAATACTCAAATTTCCCCTCCTCGACTCCTCGGCCCTCCGGTAGTGACCCGGGGCCCTTCTCACTTCGGTTAAATGGATTCCTTGCGTCGTTCCCTGCGTCTAGTCCCTCCCACCAGGGAAGCATG